AAAAAAAAAAAAAAAATAATAATAATAATAAAATAAATAAATAAATGACATAATTAGTCGGGACAATAATCTTGACTTATTCATTAAATAATTCAACTTCTACTTAAAAATGAAAACAACACTTATTTTTAAACGATTCGAGAATCTTCCTTAAGCCTGTATGTACATTTAAAAAAGTTTTACCAATTAATCAGTCCAGTGGTTTTTAGCTATCTATTACAATGTGATATTTAACAGTAATTTAATAAACCTAAGAATTTGAAATTACCCAAATTTTGTTAATATTATGTTAATTCCTTAACCCAATTCCCTTCACACTAAGTTATAAAATAATTATATTCGAAATATTTTAGATGTACTGCCTAGTCTCACTTTTGGTTTCACCTTAAAAAAAAATGGTGCCGTTATGTTTACTTAAGTCCAAAGAAAAAACAAACTATGATAACAATTGTCATATGTCTAAAAGAAAAAACAGGCTAAATTATAAATATATATATAAAAAAACCATTAGAATCTAGGGACATAATAAATATTTACGCTAAGTTAAATTTGTTATTAAAGTATAAGTTAAATATTATGTAGTAATTATAATTAAATTGTATTAATATAGATATTTAATATATAATTCTAATATATACGTAAGAATTACAAATATTAATGATACTATAGTACTCCTAATTTTCATTTTATATAAGTTATATTATTTTTAATTGTTTCATTATTATTATAATAATTGTGTTACCCAAACCAGTGAATATTGAAAGAAGATTTAATTGAATTCAATCAGTCATGAAGTGGGCCATTCTTTAAAGTCAAATGGCTTACCATACCCACCGCCAGACCCGAGACCAGCAGCTGTGCCGTCCGCCCCTCTATAAGTTTGGCCTGCACCATAGCTGGTCGAATCCTAAAAATATAATTTACTCCAATATTAACCTATTTACAGGAATAAACCAAACTACCTCTAATAATTAATAAATTATAAATAAATAAAAAAATTTGCCACTAAAATATTAAACAGCTGCCTTACAAAATTAACATCAAACATCATTTTTAATATTACAGAAATATTATTAAAAAATATAATGGAATTCCAATTACATTAAAGCCATACTAAATAAAGAAATTTATATGATTACTAATATTAAACTCTATACATCAATAAATGAAATAGTGTCATTTTTTTCATCTATCATGAATTTTAAAATAATTATAACAAAATATATTATGATTAAAATTTATGTAATGAAATATTTATAACATAGGCCATTTAAAATTTTTTAACTATTAATGTATGGAATTTAGAAGAATCTATTTTGGAAGGCAGTATTACAATATAAATTTCTTAATAAAACAGAACAAATGCAAATTGTATGGCTCTTGTCTAAAAACCATTTATTAGAGGCATTTAAGAGAAATTACTGAATAAATTTTTAATTTTAAACATAAAGAACACTTTTCATATTTATTAATATTTTTAAAATTGCATATGTCACAGATTTAACAATAGCTCATATCTGACATTTAATCAATTTTTTAGAGATAATAATAATTTTAAAATAATAATTAATATATTTATTTATCATATGATATTATATAAGATATAAAAGTTGAATAATTATCTTTATTTTTTATTTTTTTTGTAAAATTTTGAATATTATTGAATTTAAAAACAGATATGTACTACTACTTAACTGGTATTTTAGAGGGAAATAAATCATTTACATAAAAATAACCTATATTCCATTACATAAAAAATGTCAGATATAAGTTATTGTCAAATCAGTAACAATAAATAATTTTATATTTAAATCACAAATATTCAATAAATGGCTTATAGAACAAAATACTAACATGATTGTTAAATAATATTACTGTATGTGTAATAATTATATTATTATAAAATATTATTATTAAATTATATTATCACATACCCCTTTTTTCACTTTGAGGCAGTATATATTTAATTTCATACATAAATGTACCTACCTACATTTATCTCCACTTCATTTTGTAGAAAATACTATGTGAGAGGATATTGTAAAATTTAATTTTAAAATACTAAATATAATTTTTAACTAAATTTATCACAGATTTGAAATTGAATAATAAGACATACAGAGTGTATTCCACCAGGTTCTAACATAATTAATAACTTTTGATCTAAGAAATAATTTTTATCACTATTTTTTAAGTAATTGTTATAGTTTTATATCAAGTTGAAACATATTATTTGTCTCTTATAAGAAAAATTATAATGAAATATGTTTTATAAAATTAAAATCCGGTAGGAATAGATCCAAGGCTATTCAGGTCATCATCCAACGAAAACCTAGTGGAAAGACTATACAGGAATATTTTAAAATAGGGACATGGAATGCGAAAACAATTTTTAAAATGAGAAGGTTGGAAAAAGTAAAAGGACAGATGAAAAAAGCAAAGCTAGATAGACTTGGTATAAGTGAAACCATTGGCAGGAGATGGCGATTTTATGATCATTCATAGTGAATATGAGAAAGTAACAAGTCAAACTTGCCCCTTGTTGTTCTGAGAATTCTGCTACCTTGCTATGATATTTTCCAATGACAAAAGAACATAAGACATCAAAGGAAAAATAGCATTGGCATAGCAAGCAAACCGTACAAAAATCAGTTTTTCACCAATAGACATCTGAGCATTGGCATACATAAAACATTTGTCTGGAGTGTGCTTTCATATGACAGTAAATCGTGGACAATTTACAAGAATAACAGAAATATTCAAGCTATGGATATGAAGAAAAATGACAAAGAAAAGAAAAGCAATGAGCAAGTGCTAGAAAAAGTACAAGAAGAAAGACAGATGATGGTGATTGAATCAAGAAAAATAAAGCCAATTAAACAAATCATCCAACACACTACAATGAATTCATAATCAACATTTTCGAAGGGTTAATAATTAGGAGAACTGAAAACCAAGAAATCCCCTAAGAAAACAATATTTTGAACATATCATGAACTGTGCATTATTTGTTACACTAAAGAATTTGGTGGGTAACAGAGAGGAGTGTCTTTAATAAATGATGATAATGAGTTTGATAATAGCTTTAGGGTAAGTACTTATTGAATAATAAACATTTTAATACATAAGGTAGTATTTTATGGAGGACACACACACCATTACAAGCTGTACCTCAACAACACAACATACCCACTCTATGTATTTTTAACTGTTTGTAACTTAAAGTGTTATTCTAAAGTTAATATAAACCCAACAAAATTATTTTTAGGAAAAAAGCTATTTTGAATTATTAAAAAAATCTAATTTAATATTTTTTGTTTTTTTTAGGGACAAATAATAAAAATTCAGTTAACATAGTTCTAAACAGTAAAAATTATTTTTTAAAAAGCAACCCAAAATATTAGCTGGAAAATTATTAAATATGTCAGAACCTGGTGAGATACATATATGTATAGAGAACTTTTTAAATCTTATAACAAAATGAAAAATAAAACTAAAATAACAGTTACATTGTTTGAAAAATAAATAAAATTTAGTATAAAAATTAGATTATTTTTACTTTTTCAATTTTTGTATAATTATTATGGTTTCTACTAATAAATGTTTTTTAAGTAATTGATCATAAATAGAACCTAATAACATAAAATGATACAAACTTAGTTTTAACTTAAATTCCAAAAATTAATTTTAAAAACTACAACATTTCATAAAGTTTAGGTTAAAAAGGTATCAAATATAAATACTATGTTATAGCTTAACTAAAATGTAAAACATGAAATTCTCGACTTCCTAAAATTATTATTTAAAAATAAAATTGACTTAAGTATCTATTATTTATTAGGTATTAATATACTTAAGTATGTTTTTGAAGTACAAACCATTAACATAATATACTAAATTGCTTTAATATTCAATAAATTAAAAATATTACTTGAATAATATAAATATTATCAGACAATTTAAATGTGTCATATTAAAAACCATTAAATTGAGATAATAAGGTTTTTATTTACTTATTTTCATTCATATAAAAAACATTTAAATCAATTTTTCTTAAATTAAAAAACCATACAATTTACAAATGTCCAATAACTTTAACAACTAAATGAATACATTTTATTAAAATTATTATTTATTTTTTAATCAAAAGAACTATCAATTTTTAACTATCATACCTGTTGATAGCCAGTATAACTTCCATAGCCAGCATAATCACCAGCTTTTTGGGGAGCTGTTCCTGGTGGTGTTGGTCCAGTAGCTGGGGCTGTACCAGTAGAACGAGAATACAGATCATCTGTAAATTAAATAGCTGATCATTTCAATAAAAACACACCAATAAAAGGTGTATTATATTATTTTAGAAAAACATACTTTGTGGTCCAGGACCAGTTTGTCCAGGTGGTCCTGTAGCTGCAGCAGGTCCATTCTGAGGCATATTCCAATTCCAATTATTACCATAGCTTGATTGAGGTGGTGCTTGAGGTGCTATATTTATAATTAATAAGATCAACAAACATTATATACAATAATTCACAATATTTACCATAAGAACCATAACCAGGCTGCTGAGGTGGAGCATAATTTGAGCCCCAAGTTGGTGGAGCCATACCTTGTCCTTGAGGTCCAGGTGGAGCACCCCAACCTTGGTATCCACCTGGTCCAGATGGTGTACCGTAACCAGGATATTGTGATTGAGGAGTGGAACTCCATCCACCTTGATATCCTTGCATCATGTTTCCAGGACCCATAGGTCCCATTCCACCCATAGGGCCACCCATTTGACCACCTGGACCACCCATTCCCATACCCTGTAAAATCAAATAACTTCAATTATTTTTACTAAATCATATTTATTAAAAAAAAAAAAAAAACACAAAATTAAATATAAGATAATTTCAAGAACCATAATTTAAATTATAATGAAAATAATACTTACACCCATAGCCAAGTGATTATTTTGACTCATGCCCCACTGATTGGCACCAACATCATTCATTTTATTTGAGTCTCTAGGTTCAGCTTTTTTAATTTCAACCTGAAACAAAGACCAAAATAAAATTTATAAGAATAAATTTCATAAAAAAAAATTAATAATAATTGTAACTAATTTCACACAAAATTTTTTTTTTGCATAACTAACCAATCACTAATACTAAAGTTTATCATAACAATCGAAATATTATTTAACTTAATAATTTATATTGACATTTTAAAATACATTTAAAAAAGTTATTATAACTCTAATTATAATATCCTATCCTATACTATGTTATTTTAGTATATTTAATTTTATAGATAATAATAGTAATTAAATAATAAATAAATTACAATACGAACACCTTATATAAATTAAGATATGTTAGATATTGACATATATATATACATTTACTAAATGTATAGTATTATATATATAGAGAAATAATCAAATTTTATTAAAAATTAAACAAGGACAATTAGTCATTTTCAAAAAAAAAAAAAAAAACCAATTTCTTTTTTTTTTTAAAAACGTGAACTTAATTAAAAGTTTTTTGTAATCATTATTATGTAATATTTCATTTTAAACAAACAATTTTGAACAAAAATTAGGAAATTTTCAACAATTTAAATTTAATTAATAATAATAATACCTGTTTGCCACTAAGATTGACAAAATGTTCAGCTACGCATCGATCAACTGCATCATCATCTTCAAACGACAAAAATCCAAACCCTAAAAATTCCATTTTTATATTTATGGTGAATATTATAACACCATAGGTAAGTAGTAGTCACACTGCTGCTAATATAACTTCATGATTAATTCTTACTACATATTATAAAGTTTTGCAAAACATTAGTTAAAATAATGAAATTATAACTTATATTCAACTATAAATGAACATAATAAAAAATAATGTATGACTTTATTGGAATTTGATAGGTATACATAAATTGAGAAGAAATTAGAAAGTATTTGTATAATTTCTATTTCAATGTTACTTATGTTTCATATATCTAACTGCATGAATCAATCATAATTAAATCATAAACTATAAAATTTGAAGACAAATTAATTTTTGAACTAGTATAAATACACTAGTGTTAGTATGCAGCAGTGCTTATACAATTTTTTTTTGGAAAAGTTTAATTAAATTAGAGGTATGTAAACAAACATAAATAATACATCATTAAAATTAAGTTAATTTGAAGTATGTTATTCATAAAATAAAAATAAGCTATACATATATAACTATTATTAAAATCAAAATATTAACTACTAAGTATTAGTCTATAGTTCAAATGGCTCACTAAGGAAATAAAATCAAATTTGAAGAAAAAATTGTATTTTAAACATAAGTTTTAATTATGTAAAGTAAACCATAACTATGTTCAAATTCTTTACTTTTTATCTCAGACTTAAAAAAGGAACTTGCATTAGCTGAAAATTTGGTAAAATAACCAATAATTTTCCCCTTCTTCTACCACCATATTTAAGATAATTAAAAAATTGATTATAATAAAAGTATGGTATTTCAATACATTTGTACTAAAATTATGAAAATAAGATAAATGCAATTAAATTATAAATATAAAATAGAAATTAATTTATAATAATTAATAAATTAACAAATTAAAAGTTAAATCATCTAATATTTATGACAACTATTTAAAATTATTAAAATTACATTTATTACATCATCCTGACACTTAACTATGTTTAAAAAAACCTTATTTACAAACATACATTAAAATATTATGTAGATCTGTATTATTTAAAGTATAACTCATAACTTAATTAAATATAATATGCATGGTGGTTTAATATTTATAAACTATTATAACAATACATAGAAACAATTGGTAAGTAAACATACATAAACTATTTCATTTTAAAGTAGGACAAGTTCAAATTTAATTTGAACTGAAACTTAATTTGTCTTTTTTATGTTTGTTTAAAACCCTATATTTTACTGTAATGATATTTGATGATAAAATAGTTCTCTTACCTCTTGATTTCTTTTTTTCTTGATCATACATAATAACTACTTCCATAACTTTTCCATACCGCGAAAAAAAAGTTCTTAAATCAGTTTCAGTCACATTTGAAGGTAATCCACCTAAAAATACTTTAGGATAACTTGAGCTCCTTTTTGGTTTTTGAAGAGTTCGGGGGTTACATGGTTTTGGATCAATCTTAAAAAATAAAGTTATATATTACTTCTAAATGACTTAATATAAATATTTAAATTCTACATACAGTTCGACCGTCTAGAACGTGTGGTCCATTTTGTAAAACTACATTTACATTATTTGGATCAGCAAATGTAACAAATCCAAAACCCCTTGATCGCCCACTTTCACTATTTTTCATCACTACACAGTCAATAACTTCACCATAGCGATTAAAATACCTTTGTAAGCTTTCTAAATATTTAAATAATAATAAAAAAAAAATTATACAAGAAAATAATCAAAAGTAATTTTTTTAGTATTGAATGTTAAATATATTTTTATTTTTAGAGAATTAATTAAAACACACTTATTTTTAAAAACAATTTTATTAAAAAAATATAGTATTGCCACCTATAAAATTCATTAGAAGTTATTTAATTTGAACAGAGGGAATATAAAAATATTATCCAATTTGTTCAAACAAGTATTATTTATACTTTCAAATAGTTAAATTGTAGTAACAAACACAATACATTTCATATATAGATTTAAATTACATTTCCACTGCTTTATAATTAAATTTTTTTTTTTTTTTAGTATAAATTTATAATTTAAATAGCAAAATAGTAGTATAACTTTTTTTATACTATGAATTTTCAACTCCTATAACATTATTTATAACCCACTTTGTTAAGACTAATAATTAGTACAAATAAAAACAGTTTGTATCTTAATTTTAATTTTATTAAACTTTTTTTAAATGAATATATCTACATAATTGGTGTTTATTTTTAAATAGGATTTATAATATCTCACAATAGCAACATATAAATTAACAAATATTTTAAAAATAGAAAGCATTTTAAAATCAAGCAGGCTCCAATGGAATAATTAAGGGAAAGGTCTATAAGTCCTGGCCCACCATAAAGATAAAAGCACGGTCAGAGGTAGTAGAGCAGTAAAGGCTCCCCACTACTCTATATTCTAAAAGCTATCTGGTCCTCTCCATACAAAATATTTAAACATATCACTTATAAAGACAACACAGATACCATTTATTTATAAACATTCAAGATAAAATATATAAAAATTAAGATACATTAGCAATATAATTTAATCCTTATAAAGATTATCTATCTAAAAATATAAGTAATTAGAATGTAATTACCTTGTTGAGTTTCCCAGCTTAGACCACCTACAAATAACTTTCTGTAATAAAATTTATAACTTAATTAATTCAAACACATTTAATAGAAATGAAAATTATAATAATATTATAATAAAACTATTATTTATAGTATAATTTATTGTTGCTGATTATTTTAAGCTGATTTAATTTAAACCATTTAATACTTCATAAAACTTAAACCAAAAAATCATAATTATTCACAGAACTTTTATATATATTTATTACTTTTTTTTTTGTTCAAGTAAAAATAAATCTTTTCAATAATGTGAATATTCAAATTTATGGATATAAGAAAAAAATAGTTTTTCTACACTAATTTAATCATATAATTGATTTACAAGATGACTTTAAAAAAATTTAATGAATAGAGGAAAATATTATAAAATGGAAAATATTTTTTATATAAGGATGACGTAGAAGGCAATAATAGAATTTTTAAGTTTCAAGAAATGAAAGTTTTTCAACAATAAGAATGAGTTGATTATTGTGGATAGTTTTATTTGTCTTGTAATGTAGGATGTTAAGAATTCAAAATATTTTAGATAAGTGTTGGCATACTATTTTTTCAATTTTATATTATAGAACCCTGTAGTTAAATGATCAGACCAATAATATGAATTTATCAAATTTTTAAGATAAAGCTACAATAAAATAAAATCATTAATATTACATTAAACATAACCTAAAAGTTAATTTATATCAATAAACATGCTAGATGGCTATAAAATAAATTTATGTAAAATTTTGGTTTTTTTTTTTTAAATATATATTCCAAATAAGAATATGAACACAATTAATTTTCTAATACAGTAATACATTTTATTTGTGATTTAAATAATTATTTTATTATCTAGAGAAATATGCTAGAAATAATTGTTACTTTTGACAGTTTAATGTATACAAACATTTAATCACAATTAAAATTGTCAAATGAAAATTACTACCAAATATAAGGAAGAGTAATATGAAACATGATATCATTCATATCCTGTTATGATTTTTATCATTAATTCATATTTAAGAATAACATTTAAATTCACTTAATAATGAACTAACTCCACAAACTAAAGAAATATAGATAATTGAAGATATATTTTACAGACTTAGTGAACATAAAAATTTCAGGTAGTCTGATTTTCTATATTTTTTGTTAAACTTAAAAGTGACCACAAATTATAAAGGTATTTTTCAATTATTTTAAGAATTTTAATTAGTTATTAAAAAAACAAAGAAAACATGAATATATAAAATACTGACAATGTTGAAAAAATACTATTTGTACGTATAGTCATTAAATTGTATCTTAATGAAGATTTAGTACAAAAAATGTTATAACAGTATAAATATAAAAATTGAAATGTATAATAACAATGATATGAAGAATTATTTATAACTGCAGCCGGCATTAATAAGAAAATGACTAGAGCATGTTTAATGAACTACTGAAAGTAACGCGTCCCGTATTTCACCACATGAAATTTACCAAATAAATTTAATAATGCATGTTAACAAAATCAAATTCTAGACAACTTTAGAAAGTCAAACTTACCCTTGTTCATCTTCCTCCAATTCAGATTTGCCCCTCATCTTTAAGTCTATTTCTTTATATTATTATAAAAATATAAAATCAAATAAGTAAAAATGTAACTATAAAAGTAAACAAATGGTGTCAAAGACGAACGCAATAATAATAAGAGAATGTACAAAATAAAATTAAACAAATGACTAACGTTTAATAGTCCGGTTGTCGGACATTTAACATATTATTGACACAAAAAACACGACACGTCCGACGCAAAATGGCGTCCGCATTTTTCTCTCTCCTAAAATTTCGGCATTTCACGATATGCAACGTTGTCAATTTGAATATTGAGTAATTCATCAATTTTACAATCTCTTTGGTCTACTAATAATACTTTAATCTATTATTAAACTCCATAATTTTTTTTTGAGAAAAACATAACGAACAGTTTATTTAATTCAAGTAGCATGCTATTTTTCAATCAAGATTATATTAATGATACATTCTACTTTTTAATTACACACAAAAAAAATACTGAACTATGATAAGATAGTAATATGTTACTCTCCACTAACGGCAACATCGAAATTGTGAGCAACGAATTCTGTCGGCCGCTGTAGGTAAACTTTGTGCGTTAACATTTGACAACAGACTACCTGCCATTTTTTCATGCGATTTTTCGAGTTAAGTTTATCCGGCTGTACTGTGTTTTACAGTGCCAGTAAAATTTATGTAAACTATACTATCGTACGTATAATTATTAGTGAGTATCGTATTTTGAAGATTCAAATTTTGAAAATCTTATTATTTTTGTCGCTGCATAATTGGTTATGTCTTCGTCAAATGTTGAATTGATCGATGAAGATTCTGGGTAATTTTTTTTGTTACACTCTTACACATTGGGTAACCGTTGTTTGTCGTTCATAATTTGAGGTCTGCTTGCTACCGGTATATCGCGGGAAGAATAGTATATTTATGATTAAAATTATTTAAATACGTTAAATAAATAATATAAAATAAATCCTGTCTGTAAACGGTGTCAATCGTAGTGAATTATATCAATTAATTTTTAAATATTTATAATTTCGTATTCAAAAGAATTATAATTATTATAAAATATAATTTGCAAAATTTTTTACATTTATATTGAAACTTATTATATAACTTATATTATTTAGTACATAAAAAATGTTTCTATCCAACATTGTTAGTAGATAAAAATATTAAATTTGGTTAATTGAGTTTAAAAAAAAAAAAAAAATAGTTGACTGTTATGAGCAAATTCTTTTCATTAAAGGCTTATATGTATCATTATTTATAAAAATTTTAAACAAATATTGAAAACAAACAGATTACAAACAGTTATTCTTTTGAATTAATTTTAATATTTTTAATGTTATAAATTGTAAAAATTACTATATTTAAAAATTCAAAATAAAACCGATAGTTTTATAAATATCTATTGTAGAATTAAATAGGGTAAAAGTTAACTTTTGATGCTAATGTCCATAATTTATTACTCAACTGATAAAATATTAATTTAGTAAAAAACTTTAAACCTATTTTATGAAGCCAATAGTTTGAATTTTAGCATTAAAAAGTAAAAATTGTTCATTAAAATTTCATGATTCTTTTATTATTGTCCCTCGTTTTCACATTTATTCATGGTTCTCTACTAATTTGAATATACTAATAATTTATTTATTAGTTAATGCTATTACAATCATGTATCATTTATCAAGGGTATATATGTTGTTTTAATGGACTATTCAAATTAGCTATATTGTGTATTGAGATTTATGCTTCCTAGTTATTATTACAACCATATGCCACACAAACAATGTTTACAAATAATTAGTTTTACTACAATTTCTTTTTTTGAGTTAATTCTTCAGTTATAATTTGTAACATTCTTTCCAAATATGGAAGAGATCAAGCTTTTAATAGTGTATGTACATTAAAATTTACTCGATTCACCTTTTTTTGCTTATATTTTATATATAAATAATTTTATAACATTATTTAATATAACTTTATTTTAATTAGTTTTTTGTTTTTAATTTTCATTAAAATACTTTTTAATGTTAAACATATTATGTACGCACACAAGATAGAAAAGTTATCTTTTTATATTTTCATAAAAAACTATAGGTAAATAATAATAATAATAATTAAATATATCACAATTATAATCATAAATGATTAGTGATCTATATACAACTTCAATACTCTTTAAAAGAAAATTTTCTATTTACATGTATACTTATATATCAAAAATTTGTTTTTTTTTTTTTTTAAATCCATCTTATCTTGTTATTCTAAAACCATATGATGTTACAAACTTAATTTTTGTAGTTAAATCAAACTTTAATTTTGTAATAAAACACCAAACAATCCACATAAACTATTAATCAAACAATATTGTGATCATTTTTTAGGAAAAAAATTTTTTCAGACATTCTGTATGTTTGATTCTTAAAACAACTTTTAAGTAAAAAATTTATTTATTATTTTTTTAAATTTTAATTTGTTTTTATGAACTTAACACCTTAATATAGTTTGACATAAAAATCAAGAAGTTTGTAACATCATTGAAGTTAATTAAGAATTATTAGGTTTGATTTTTCTACAATAACAATAGTATTGAATAAAAATTATTTTTGATTCAACAATCTAAAAAAACTGTGTAAAGTCTATTAAATAATATTTTTCCTGTATTTTTAAAAGCAATAAATAAACATTGATATAAACAAATAAAAAAAAACAATTTTAGAATTATGTACAGTGAAGAACCTAGTTATAAACGTTTAAGATCAGAAGATGATGATTCCCGTAAAATGAGTTTAACCAAAAAATCATTCAACCCAAACTGGTTAAAATTTAGTATGTTCAAAGATTGGTTATTGCCTCATAAGTTAGCAGATAAAGCAGTATGCAAAGTATGCCATTGTGTATTAGTAGCTGGAAAGAGTGAGCTTGAGAAACATATGGCTACTAGGAAACATGAAAGAAATATGGAAAAATTAAATGGTTCTCCTATTGAACAGCCTGAAGACATTGAAACTTATGCTATAATTTCAGGTAGAGTATTTTTCCAAAATAGGTAATTAAAGTCTGAGATTTGGCTTACTTGAAACTGTCCTTCAATGTGCGTGCATATCACATGTTCCATATTTATTCAAGTTTAACTATTCAAATTTTTATTTATAATTTTATATCTAAGTATAAATGTTTAAGAAAAATATTTTATTATACCTGAATAAAAACAGAAAATTCTCATTCAGTAAATAGAAATATAATAAAAATTGTTATATAAAATTAATATTTTAAATTGTATTGTTTTTTTAAAAAATTATGTATTTCTCCATTTGTTGTGTATAAAAATAACTGTATGATAATAATTTCAAGAAATTGAAATAAATTATTTGTATATTGTGTTTTGATTACAATTTTAAGACAAAAGTTTTTTATTTTTGTTTTATGTATTTTAAAGGTTATTAACGAGTAGAAACTGTAATATAAGTATAATTATATTTAATAGTATTCTGAGAAACTCATTATTCAAATATATTGTATTACCAACCATTTTCAAAAATGAGTAACAACTTAAACTGTTTATTTGTATACATATAATAAATTATTTAGAATTGTATCTCACATGATTAAATAATAAATGTGCAGAGGTTATTTCATAATATGACGTACACATTTCTCATTTATTAATTAAACTGTAATTAATTTAGTTCAGCAGATTCTTTAATTATTTTTAAGTTTAATTTTATATTAATATTGATGTTAGTTACTTTCTACTTTGATTACCTTTTTTAGCTCATCATTTGAAAGTTAATATTACTAGGATCATGAAACTAATAGGCTTCTTAATTAGTGTGTTATTATTTTTTGCAGCAAATGAAATTCAGTAACCTGCAGTACTTAGGGATATTTGTGCATTTCAGTTAATACAAGCTATAAATTGAGTATAAAGAATTTATATTGATGTTAAAATATTTCAATGTCAAACGATCAACAAGAAGAATATACAATAATTACATCAACTGGGTCTAATAATCGTGGACAAATGTCTCAGCCACATCTTACATTTACACCACCCACTCAAATTTTTCGCTCTGAATGGCAGCGGTTTCCTGAGTTTCATGCTTGGTTACGGCCCATTGATGGTGATGTAACAAAGGCATGGTGTATTGCATGTGAACGCATGTTTCGTGCTGATCTAAAATCGCTCAGAGTACATGGAGTTAGCAAAGCTCATGTAAGAATGGTTCGTGCTCGATGCCCTAATGCTGATGATAATCCTGTTCCACCTATTGAGTATAATGTTGTTACTGATAAGAAAGGTACTTATGGAATAGCTGTAGTAACAAATAAAGAAGATAAAAGTTCGTTGGGATCTAGAGCATTATATATGAATCAAACAAATCCTACTGAAGAAATTATAACATCTGAAATGGCTGCTCAATCTCAACGAGATAAATATGTTGTGGTGTCATTGCCTAATGAAGATGAAGATGACAATGATGGTCCCCAAACATCTGGATCCAATACTCAATATATTCAGAAAGAGGTTAATGTTATTGATGAAACTGGTAATTTGGTATCTGTAGTTACTGAACATGTTAAGAAAAATAAAGGTAAAATATAGGTGTCCTGGTCAGAGCTGCAATTATATTTTATAAATAATTTTATTAACTATTGCTGGTATTATTAAATGTAATTATATTATTATTATTATTTATTTCTAAATTTGATAATAACTTTTTTTTAATTAAATGTATTTTAATGCATTTTAAAAGATCATGTGAATATACTTTTTTGTGAGGTTTTAAAAATTCAAAGGTCCAAGTGTTAACATAATGTTTGTGTGCATGTGTGTTGTACATTTTAGCAGTACTTGTCGTTTGTCTTGTAAAATTTTATTCATTGAATTCCCCAGAAAGCAACACTCTCAAATTCAATCACACATGAAGTCTGATGATGTCGAAGATCAAAAAAATTCAGCTGATGAGGATGATATAGCCATTGATGAAGTTTTAACACCTCTTCGTATTAAACAAGAATCGGCTGTCAATCGTGCTCATATGATGAAACGAAAAAGAGGTTTACAAAAATATCGCACAGATTGGGAAAAATTATCCGAATTTAAGGGTTGGCTACACCCAGAACCAAAAAGCTGTTATAAAGCTCGATGTGAAGCTTGTGACAAAACTTTAGTTGCAGACATCACAGTGTTAAGAAATCATTCACAGGCCAAAAAACATGTTATGAAAACCGGAGGTACTGTTTATGAAGGGCCAATCATTAAGAACAAATCCAAATTAAAATTACCCAAGTCAGAAGATGATGAAGATGATTCTACTGATGATTTACAAATGAAATCTTTGAGCATTAAAGGTTTGAAAATTGGTATTATAATGTGTGTTTCTTCGAGTCTAAAGCTTTACTCATTAATTTTATGATAGATTTATTTTATAATTTTGTAATCTATTAAGAAACTTCATTATTTTGCATTAAATATTACATAATCATTGCTATTTGCAATAATATATTAAATAATAATTCAACTATGTAAATTAAGCTATAGACTCAATATTCGTATTTAATTAACAAACACAATTGAAGATCATAAACTGTTGTATGCAATGTTAAGTTTTGTTATTTCATTTACTTAGTTGAATGTTATTAATATTAAAATAAACTGATGTTTAGTATACTTTGGTTGGTCATCAGCTGTAAAAGCAAACGTGTTTTGACCTATTTATTATAATTGGTCAGAGCTTACGCGTTTTAAATTTTACCTATAGCAAAAAAAATTTTGTGAACCGTTTGAATTATATTATCAATTTTATTGAATTAAGTTCGTACTTATGAAGGACAGTTTTAAAAGCAAGCCCTGAAAAAGTTGGTCAGAGCTTTCATTATGTGTATTTTTCAATGTATATCATTGTACAACTATTCATTATGTTAATACTTGTGACCTTAATGTATAAATATTTGTTTCCTAACTAAATATATTTGATAAATGTTAGTAAATAAAAACAATCTGATAATTATTGTTATTATTATTATTATTAAGTTGCATTATTAGTAATATTAAGAAAAACATTTTATTACCGAAATATTGCAGCTCTGACCGATTTTAATAAATGTAAATTTTTTAATGACTTGTTGATTTAACATAAATTGGTACAGAAATATTATAATAAATTATCCTATTATAGATAATGAAGATGACTATGATGTGGGTATTCAATCTAATGACTATCACAGTACGTCGAACTATGAAAAAATGGATCAAAAACATGAAGATATCCAATGCAAAGCAATGGGTATGTTTTAACACAATAATTTTAAAATCTATTGTTTTAATGTTACTTTTTATCTTAGTGTCAAAACCTGCCCCATTTTGGAAAGCTACCGCAGTTGTCAATGGTCATGTAACTGAATTGAAACTCAGTGACTACAATGGTCGTTATTTAGTTCTATTCTTTTATCCACAAGACTTGTAAGAACTTTTATTATTTTCATATGTAGAAATGTATACCCACCCCATCAATCTTCAGCTGTTCTCTATTTTAATTCTATATAACTCTTAGAAAGATAAAAAATTGTATCAAATTTAAAGTATTCTCTTGAAAACTATTCAATAATATATTATTTTAATGTTGTATGTTCTGCAATGTTAAATAAAATTAAAATTTTAAAGTCTATTCTAATACCATATATTACAATTATTTAATTAATGGCTTCACTTTTGGGCTAAATAAAAATTGTATCAAATAATTTTAAAAGAATTGAAGATTTGTATTCTCTATTACTTGAATATTATTACAAAATTTTGGTTATATTATTATTTATTTATATGTACTCTGAAGCCCATTCTAATACCATATATTACAATTATTTAATTAATGGCTTCGCTTTTGGGCTAAATAAAAATTGTATCAAATAAATTTAAAAGAATTGAAGATTTATATTCTTTATTACTTGAGTATTATTACAAAATTTTGGATATATTATTATTTATTTTTATGTACTCTGAAGCCCATTCTAATACCATATATTATAATTATTTAATAATGGTTTCGCTTTTGGGCTAAATAAAAATTGTGTCAAATAATTTTAAAAGAATTAAAGATTTATATTCTTTATTACTTGATTACTACAATATATAATTTTGAATACCAATTTTATTAAATTTCATATTTGGATTAAACACAACTAGTAGGTTTGCTTCTTGATCTGTATATCATCTATAAGTACCCTATTTTATAAATTTGCTCTGTGTATTTTTACAAATTTAATGAATTAACTTAAATATACTATACAAGTGATTCTTTATTTTCTCAAACAACATACATAATTAATATGAAGCAAAAGCTATTAGTCATATATATATATATATATATATATACTTTAGAGAGAAGTATCTTATTAATATTTATTATTTCAGTTCAAGGATTTGCCCCAGTGAACTTATTGCTCTTAGTGACAGAGTTTCAGAATTTAGAGCCTTAAACACTGAAGTAGTAGCATGTTCAGTTGATTCTTATCTTTCTCATCAAGCTTGGTCTCGTACACTTCGTTCAGATGGTGGGATTGCTATACCTAAAATGCCTTTATTATCAGATCCTACTCATACTATAAGTAAAAGTTATGGATGTTACCTTCCTGAACTTGGTCATTCACTAAGGTAACTATTAAATTTAGTATTTTTATTGATAATTAAATAAATAACTTTGTTTTTTATGATTTTATAGTTTAAATTATAAAAATTGTCATAATATTAACTTAACATAGATAGTAACTGCACAATTTTTAAAACGAGTTTTTGTAAGATATGATTTGTTTGAATGTGTATATATATATACATATGAAGCTTTCAATACATAATATTATTGTAACTTAACAATTATCTTTTTTTACGGTTATTATTATTTAAGACCAATTTCTAGAAATTGTGCAACAAGTTTTGAAACTGTATAAGAAAGTAATTAAGTATATCAATCACTATTAATATATCATCACTATTAACGCAACTTAAATCTTATATAAGGTATTCAGTAAGTAAGGAAACAGATTTCTATTGTTCTCATTGTTTGTAACATTTTACTTATTTCTATGCTTACCAAACAACTGTATAAAATTTAAATTATATTAAAAATATTAATATAAAACTGAAAAATATTTAACCCAACAAAATTACTATTATATAACGGGTATGTATTTCAAGAACAATGTCACTGTTATCAATGTTATTCATATACAATTTTTTTTTGTAAATGTTTAGTGTTTATACTGGTAACATCGATCCTGAAATACGTATCCGTGATATTTTAGTAATTTTTTGATTTAAATATTTTTAATAGTTTTTAATTTTAAATAATATTAGCCACATGTGATCGATTTTTATTATATAATCTTATTATTAATTTTAGAGCACATTATATAATTGATATGAGAGGCATTCTAAGACATGTGACCATCAATGATTTACCAGTTGGTCGTAATATTGGTGAAATATTAAGACTTTTGGAAGCTTTTCAATATACTGATGAAACTGAAACTCTTTGTCCTGCAGATTGGAAACCAGGCGAACCAACTATTTCATAATATTATTATTATTATTATTGCTACTATTTAACTTAGGTTCAACTGTAGCTTACTAGTATTATAAAACTGAAGTTTTATAATTTTTTTTTTTTTGTTTTTTATTGTGCTACTTCTAAAATAAATCATTTGATTTTATTTATGTAAAATAGTTGATATATATTATATATATATACATTTGTAACTCATTCAAACTATGTAATTTAAGTATCTACATAAAAATGTCAATTAATTCAACACTTGATATTGTATATTTGACTAAGAATGATAATAAAAACAACTTTTTTTTATTAAATTTTCTTAATAATGTCAACCATTTATTTTAGTTATTAATGCCTGACATCTACAATAAATGAATTGTTTATGTAGTCTTCAGTTTTGTACAAAAAGAAAATACTTGGCTGTACATGACAAAATATTCACGCGAAATTATTATCTACATAGTGTTCATTAATTTTGTAATAAACACAAAAACATATAAATATTGGATCTCTAAACAAACAGAATTTTGTTTCTTTTGTAAAAAAAAAAAAAAAAATATANTATATATATATATATATTATGTATAATAAAATAATAATTATTATTACAGCTAATTGTAAAAGATTATATAAATTTTAGTCTACTTACAATTCATTTGAGGCAACTTAACATTTTTCAGGTTGAGAAAAATTAAAAAATAAATAAAAATAAACGCACTTATAACATTGTTAATTATTATTATTATTACACATTATATACATAGTACAAAGTATAAAATATTATCTGAAATATTACAAAAGTAAAATAATAATAAATAAAAATCAATGTTACAATTTTTAAGTATCAGTTTGACTAAATCATAGTAACCCCCACAAAATTTATTTGGGATATTATATACATGAAATAATGTGTTCACTATTTACACAATGTTTAATGCAGAAAATGTTATGTTTATGCTATAATAATAAAAATATTAACAAAACCTCAATAATAAAGGATTTAACATTATTGATTAGCATGAAAAAATTCTAAAAACAATCACACGGTCAGTCTCTTTGTTTGATTTGTCTAAGGATTAAATATATAATTTTACTTTGTCAATCATTGAAAAAAATTCCCAGAGAAAAAAAACTTGCATAAAATAGTGTTAGCTATCTTAATAAATTTGAAATATTAATTTTTAGCCAAAAATAAGAGCAAAAAGAATAAATGTGGAAGAATTATTATTATGGGACTATATTTAAGTTGATTTACTGTTGAGTGAAAGGAGACGGTGTATTTCTAGAACATTGAAATAAAACACGAGATATAATTGCTGCTACTTGCTGGTCAAGAATTTGACTCATGACTAGAGACAGTAGCCTCTGCTCTTGTTGAAGAAATAATGTTCTATTATCTGGATGTCTTGATAGTAATAATAATATTCGAGCAGCTCTTCTTAGCATATCTAAGCTGGTACCCATGGAATCTGGATTGTCACGCAATGCATTTAGGCCATGTGTATTTACAACACTAAGTGCATTTTGTTCGGTCTGTTCAATAAAAGCTACTAAAAGCGATACACAAGGGCTTTGAAGAGCAATTGTACGAGCCATACTGCTATCAGCAGCAGCTAAATAATGCAATAGGTTGACTGCAAATTCTCGTAAAACCTAAAAATAAATTTAGTAATTAATTACATAATAGTGTAATTTTTTTTTTTTTTTTGAACTCACTTGTTCTTCAGTTCTGCATAACAAACGTGTGAGTACATTTGCTAGTTTTTCTAAACGGGAAAATGGCGGAGTAGCTATAACCAAATCCACATTATTATCAGTTACACAAAGTTTGCACAAACACTCTAGAGCCAGCCGTTGGGGGGATAATGGAGCTGTAGGAAAAGGATCTTGACCAGCTGCTGCAGGACATATTGCCCAATGTAAAAGCCCATCTAAAATGGGACGAGATACATCTTCATTAAATGTGCTTAAATCTACATAACCAGCAATATTAGCTAAAGAAACTAATAAATTTTCTCGAACAACATCTAAATACTCCCACCACCATTTAGTATCATTGCCTGGTTCAATTGTATCAGCATCAGTTGTTGTAGTACAGTTAAACAATAATTCTGTATCATCATCTGCTTTATCATAATTTCTGGTTTTGGATGATCGTAGAGGATGTTCATGATGGGTTAACAACAGTTTACCAACAAGACCAAGATACGGACCACTCTTGGAAAACTCCATTTCATTACCAGGTACAAAAGTCAAATTCCTTAATATATTTGATATGCACACACATCTTTTACCAATAGTATCTTGACTATCAGATATAAGCGAAAGACTCGACTCATCTTTGGAATAGCACTCGTCTTCATATTCAGATATACTTTTACGTTGTAAAACTCCCATAGGATCACAAATATTTAAATTTTTAATATTTACAATTTTATCTACATTATTATGTACAGGTTCCTTATTATCTAATTCTTCTTTGTCTTCTACTTTTATCTCTTTAATAGATGGTTTTTCAATTTCCGAATTTTCTTCTAATTTCACTTTTTTGCCTTTCAATAGTTTAACAAAGGGCACTAATCCAAATTCCGATCGAAAACATGGTACCAAAAAACTCGTATTAGTTTCTGCAATATTGTAGCCCATATCATAATTGTCAACAATATCCCAAGGTCTCTTGCCATTCTTAATAAATGGTTCTTTAGAACCATCTACAGTAGCAGAACATTTTATTGGTCGTTGAAGAGTTGTAGTAGGATCAGGAAAATAAGCTTTTTCAGATGCATTAATACTGTCTACAATACCAATTTCAGGTTCTTCTTCCAAAACTTTTGATTTTTCATACCAACAATAGGATCTTATATCTGTCTCTAGCATATCCACTAATGATTGACGGAAATGTTCCAATAATACATCTAATAAACCAGGCATATGAGAGAGCCCAAAATATGGAATGGATGTATCATCAAATAATAAAATATTAAGAACATCTAAGGCCCAAGTGGATTCTGCTAAAAGACCGGAACGTAAAGACATCATTAAACGCCAAGCATCTACAGGTGCAACATCTTGACGTGTCATGCGGCGACGTTTGTACAAAATCGGAGTTACTGACTCAACACTTTCTGGAGGAAATATTACATCTCGTTTCAGTAAGCTACTACCTTGAAACATTTGTTGGCCAGGCATTCCAGACTAAAAATGATTAATAAAATTATTTATACACTAACAAACATAAGTTATAAAAAATAAAAAATAAGCCAACGAAATATTCTTTTTAAATAATGTTCAATAAAAGAGTTAACTTATTTTTCATTAATGTTTAACTTAAGCTGAATTATGATATCAAAAAAAATTCAAGATAAATTATTTATATGACAAATAACTAACATTTGATATACGTTTTTTTGTCAAATTTAACTTGAAAAGAAACAAATAATCTGAAGAAATAACATAGAGTTATGATATCAATATCAAAAGTAGGTTGTGTTAAATGTTACCTTAATATGAGGTGGTGCCATTGGACTATGAGGTCCATATGGTTTATTACCATCTGGACGATAACCGTGTCTTGGCATTCTAATTTGACCTTGAGATAAAGAGCCCCAATGGTTCTATAAAATATACAGTTAATTTAGGTCATAAGATAATAAAATAATATAATAATAACTAAGTTGTTGATGAAGTTAATTCAGTAATAAGCAAAAAATATCTATAAAGCTAACCTGTTGATTAGCAAAAGGTTGTCCTTGAGGTGGATATCTATGCTGATCCCATTGAGGAGGTTGTCCTAAATGTGTCGGTGGCAAAGCCCGTGGTGGACCTTGTGACCAATTCTGTGGAGGTTGTGACACAGGTGGATAACCAGGTCTAGGATATTGATTTACAGCATTAGGTGTGCCAGACCAACCTGCAATAAAAATAGAAATATAACTATTTAAAATGTGAATTTCAAATTTAACTGAATTTACCTGGACCTGGGCCTGGGCCTGGACCAGGACCTGGATACATTGGACGCTGTTGAGAGCTATAACCAGGATAACCAGCAGGTTGAGGTGGACCAGCTTGATCTTTAGCAAAATCAGGATGTCGACGTGGTTGTGGTGGTGGCATCCCTTTACCAGAATATGCGCCTGTTGCATTACTTTGAGGTGGGTAACCTGGACTCTATAATAATAAAAAAAATTTTAATTTAAAAGGAAATTTAATTTATATACAAATTATAGAATATTACTGCAGGCTCTTGACGATAATAGTCTCCTTGGGGTGGTTGGCCAGCAGGTGGATAACCACCAGGAGTAGTAACCGATACTCCTTGGGTTGGATTTACTGTAGTTGGCGTAGAACTTGGTGGTGGTGGTCCTGGAAATCTGGTAGGTGCTTGATAACCAGTTGGTAAAGGACCACGACCATAAGGGTCTGGCCCATTTCCTGGACCTTGAGAAGGAGGAACATTAGGTGGTCCTTGTGGGGGTATGGAGCTTCCATAACTCCTACAATAAATTAATGAGCAATACATAAATATGATAAAAATTTCTAACAATCTCAAATAAGATTAGTGCATACCTTTCTGCTTCATTTGAGTAAGGAGGATATAGTGCTGGCCTTACAGGTCCACTTGGGTAACTAATGGGAGCATTAGCTGGTGGATAATGTTGACTAAATTGATCATTGCTGTTTGGGTATTGGTTGTAACCACCTGGTACTTGATAGTTTCCTTGCATTCCTAATATATCAGGTATATATGATAATTCACAATAATAAAAATTACTGTAACGCATATTTCAATGTTACTTGTTACACAAAAAATATTTAAAATGTTCATAAAATTTAACTTAGTGTCAATAATTAAAGTATAATATATATATATGCCATAAAATATGAAAATAAAAAAACTAGTAAAATATATTTCTGAAATAATTTTGTCTATATTACTACAACATGTGACTGAAATAACAATACTATCAATATATTCCCAGTCATTTTGTTATCTTATCAGTGTTAGATTATAACAAATACAATGAGCTATAAATAAAACAACTATTAACTGCAAAAGCTTTATAAAGAACATCTATTATTAAATCAATTTGTTATTATAATAAAAATTTTAGTTTACATAAAAATTATTTCATTTAAGAATTGGCAATACTATAAAAATAATATCACTTTAATAGTGTTGCAATCATATGGTCATATTATGATTATATTTTTGCTTTAGAATCAAGAATGTTTCATCAAAAATGAACATTTTATCTAATTATTTTGTTGAACTTCATTTTTAAATCATGAAACTTAAAAGGTACCTTTAACTAAAATTACAATTTTTAATCAAAAAAGATCTAAGTAATAAAAATAAATAAATAACATTTTTATTAAAGAGAAAATATTATGACAAATACAAATTCATCAATATTGATAAATGTTTCTGAACACAATTTTTTTTCAGGCACATTCCTGCAATAAATCATGAAAATAAAATGACATCTTGTATTAAAATACTTATAATTAAAATATTTTTTGATCATCCTGAAAACTAACAAAAACCGAGATTTTACAATATTATTGCAGTATAAACAACCATTTTTAATTATTATTAAAGACTCCTGATAACAAAACTAAAAAATAAATGAAACATTTTAGAAATGCAAAAATTATTAAAGCAACATTATTAATTAATTTTCAATTTAAAAGGAGATTATTATATTGTTATAATATTGATATTGATGGTTATGAGGTCAATTAATGAAATGTTATTTTTATTGAATTTTTAGGGTAATATAGAAGTTAATGATAATATAGAGATAAATATATATATTATAGCCAAATATTATTACCCACAAAGAACTTCCTATCTAAATTCAACAGAGAAATTAAGATTTCTCAGTAGTAATGTAAAACATATATTATACTGAAAATGTTCATTATTAATTAGAACGCAATGTTATGTAAAATTATGTGAACTTAAATATATCTAAAAATGAATACATTTCTAGTATTAATCATTACTAATATTTTTATTTTTTTCATTTTGAAATAAATATACTTTAAATTATCTAATGTAGAATATGAAAAGTACTAATGTTAAAAAACTTACCATGAGAGGGGTGTGGAGGTCTTTGAGGAGAATTATAATCTTGAGGTACTCCATAACCACCATAACCTGGATAATTATCTACATGTCCAGGTCCTTGAGAAGTTGGTGCAGATGGTAAAGAATCTTGAGAATTAGATCCTGCAGAACCTAATTGTACTTATTCGTTGAATTTAAATTAATCAACACAATAGTGTTGAGCAAGATACTTACCAGGAGAAGGAACAGATGTTGCCTTGGAACTTTTCTTTTTAGTAGATGATTCTATTTGATTAATAATAGGTACTGGGTCTATACCACCACGGTCAAAATGGCATTCATAAGGTAATAAATTTTTAGTATAATGTTTTCTCAGAGTATATGCAGCACTAGATGAAGCACCTATACCTAAAAGACCAGCAACATCCTTCCAAATTTTATTTTTTGTTACCTAAAAGAGAGAAAAATTAATTTTAAAATGATGAGCACATTTATAAATAGATAAAGAAACAAAAATTTAAAATAATAACTTGTGACTGCACCTTGCATACTTCCATGAATCCTCCTCGTTCTTTAACATAAATGTACAACCGGAATAGGTCAAGGGGATTTTTAGAAATTGTAGGACATGTTGAGATTGGAGTTCCTCTTTCTTCCATGAATTGCAATAATTTATCCAACCAAATTCGACGTTCAGGATTATCATCCATTTCATATAGCTTACTTAAGCTATCATGTTTCTAAAATAACCAATAAAACATATAAAGATACCTAACAATACACATTTTTGTATTTTTCATGTGTAAAAAATTTCTATTTTACATAACTTTATAAAAATTTAAACTTTAAAATTGTTTAATTATAAAATATACCTTTGGTCGGTACATATGATCATTTTGAGCCATATGACTATTAAATACTGGACTATGAGTTGGAGGTCCTCTAGACCATGCTGGAGGCATTGATTCGGGATTAGAATATTCATCATGAGCTGGTGAACAAGGAGGTCCCATTATTCCACCTATACCTTGTTGATACATAACATTACCACTAAGATTTTCTTTCCTTTTAGGTGTTGTACAACTGGAATCATCTCCAGATGCTGTAAAAAAATGTAAAATAAATTATTTTTGAACTATTAACATTGAATAAGATTTAACATACCAGCTGAAGCATTAGATAAAGTTGATTGTTGACTTGCGTCATCAATAGCAGTACCATCAGGTCCAGTGGTAACAACTGATGTTACAGCACCACTAAGATTTGGTTGTTGACCTTCATGATCAACAGACATCATTGAAACATTTGGTGGTGCCATTGTAGGAGGAACTGGTGCCGGTGGACCCATACTATGAGGAGATAATGAATTGCAGTAATTTCCTGAACCAGGACTGGGTGGTACAGAGCCAGACCCTTGGTAACCTCCAGGAGGCATTTTATGTTGCTGCTAAAATTTTAAATTATAATATAAATGTTCATACATAAAAAATATTTTTAGTTAAACAAGCTAATGTTTCAATTTTATCAGTCAAAAACATTGTGTTAGATATTATGTTCACCTGCAAATGCTGTTTAAGATAGTGTGGATGAGGTGGTGTATGGGGTCTAGGACCAGGTGATACAGGTGGTGGTGGCCCAGGTGAAGCACCTTGCTGCTGCATTGGATGCATTTGATGTGCATGAGGGTGCATATGAGGTCCTGGTGGTGGGTGATGAGAAGGATGATGATGATGTAATGGTGATTGTGCAGGAGAAGGATGCTGAGCTGGTGATTGTTGGAGCTGGTGCTGTTGTGAAGATGGTGGTGGCTGTTGTTGTGGTGGTAGTGATTGCTGCTGTTGTTGTGGTGGTGGAGGTTGGTGCAATTGTGGGGAAGAAGAAGGAGGAGGTACTTTGGTTGGTGTGAGTGGTTGTGAAAGCCCACTAAGGTGACTATTATTTAATGGTGGTGCTTGTGGCGGACAACTGCCAGGCCAACCCTGTAAAGCATAAAAGTGTCACAAAAAGCAAGTACAAATCGAAAACTAAGCAAACATATTTTTAAATAATTATTTGAGCAAATGGTCAATAAAAAGCTTCAAAAAAACAGTTTTCATGAACAATGGCACTAATCACCTACGTTAAGACAACATACTATATTTGTTATAATGAGTAAGTAAATATTATAATTATTCATTAATAATTAATAAATAATTATTAATTGTTATAATAATCATAGAGGTGTACAGCTATGATAACAAACCAATAGAAATTTAATACCTATATATCATAGCTCAGTAAGGATAATACTAGTAGTTGTAAAAACTCAATCCTTCAGGTGAGAATATTAACATAGTGAAGGAATGATAAAATTTTTTTTTACATATAATCTTCAAAAAAAAAAAACAGGCACACTGTTGTAAAAAATTACGATTAAGACACAATTAGGTAGGTAGGGTGATCTTTTAATTAATATTATCATAGTAATTTTTTAGCAATTGTTCATGGATGAGTCTGAGACTTTAAGAATTTATAAAATTTATTTTAATCATCCTGAGTACATCAAATAAAATATAATGTATATAAATAATTTAGATTGTTTTTCTTATAGGACGATGTGGCCGAGTCGGTAGGTAATGCGGTAGTGCTTGACGCGGACTACCTCAGGTTCGAAACTCGATCAAGGGCGGCTTTATTTGCCGAACGAGAGATCAGTTTTGTAATTGGAACCACCATCCCACTCTCCGACGACGGACTAACAACTCGTCTCAGAGTATAAATGGTTAAGAAACCTTCTCCTTTGGGGGAGGCCGCTATAGCTCTAAATGGTTAGTAAAAGCGTATGAAAAAAAAAAAAAAATTGTTTTTCTTATCCCTAATCAATGTATATTAATTAGGAATTTAGTTATATGGTGATTTCACTTCCCCTTAAAACAAAAAATATAAATGTTGTGATATTGTATTTGTCTATGATAAATTTTCACTGATTTAGATATCTTAAAAGCAGTTTAAGCACAGGGGTGGACTGGGAGGCCAACGGTTCAAAGATAATTTTACAAATCAGATTACATTAAACATAGCGCGTCCCAGAGGGCAATTGCTCCTTGCCCCTGTTTGAGGTCTTTGTCCAAGCAAATTTTATGAATGCAGTCTTTGAGTCTTGAACTTTAGTGGTAATTAATGAAGAAAATACTTTAATTTAAATAAAAATATATTTGATATTAAAATGAATTCAGATTATATTTAAAAATGTATTATATATACATATATATATTTGTTTATTTATTTATTTATTTAATATTAATACATTTTTCTTTAATTTTAGGTTTAAGAAAGTATAAGACAAATATTCTGTTAGTAATAAAAATTTGATTTATATTATAATAAATTTTATTAGTAAAAAAGATGAAAAAAAATGCTTTGAATTAAAAAGCTCATGAAATTTATTAAAATATTACCTGATAAGGTGGAAATTGATGTGGTGGTCCATGATGCATAGGCATACCTCTTGGAGAGTACTGCTGTTGAGGTGGACCATTACTAGATGGTGGATACCCTTGATAAGGTAAACCAGGTCTAGCACCATAATTACCTTTATGCCAAAAAAATAAAAATCAGTATATTTAAATTTATGGAGGAGCGTAAGCAGAAAATTAAAAATTTTACCAGGAGGAGGCTGTTGGGGATAAGCTCCCATTGGTTGTGGTGGTGGTTGCTGTGTTGGATATCCACCATGTGAAGTGACTGGAGGTGGAGGACCATAAGGGTTAGGACCAGACATTTTATATGGATTCCCTGGCCCTCCTGGCGAAGAAGATGTCATATGCGAAGGCATGCTACCCTGAGATTGAGGTGATGGTTGTTGTTGATATCCTTGTTGAGGACCCATAGGTGAGTGACTCATTCGATTATTACTACCCTGTGCGACTTGTCCAGGATCTGGTTGCTGCTGGCTACTAGGAGGCCTAGGCGGCATTGGAATGTTTTGTTGTTGCTGTGGTTGACCACCAGACGCTGTAACAGCAGGTGACATAGACCGCGATCCACTAGATCCTGTGGGTGATGGTGACGGTCGTAAAGGGGTTCCACCATTGCCTGTACCGCCGCCACAATTACTATCGTTACTATTCTGACTCGTTAAATCCTGGAGGAGAACAATTCACTTTTAAGTCATACAATAGAAACACGTAGATTTATACATCTAAATACACACAAATAGAATCAACAGGTCTTTCCTTGTAAAAAAGATGCATAAGGATCACACGATGGACAAAGTGAAGTAGAGGATTAGGTCAATAAAACATATGGAAGTCTGGGAAAGACCTACTGTCTAGCCCAGAAAAATACAAGCAAGAGACGGAATGAGGAAGAGCAGAGAAAGAGGAAACACGATGCCACAATATATACATAAAAGGTATTCCTACTACATTGCGGTAATTGGAAAAGAGAGCATGGGATAGTGGGATATGGCAATAACGATAGAAAGAGGGGTAACAACACAAAGTTGTTGAAAAGACACGGAGGGTTAGGACCTTTCGGGAGAGCAGAAAGAGGAAAGACAGGACGGGAAGAGGAGCACGTTATTTTACAATACATACGTGTATAAAACGCGTACACATAAATACTCAAAGACGACAGATGATATGGGGAGAGCGGATGGGTAAAACGGCGGGTAGTAGGCACGTGTGACGCCATTCATAACATAAGCAGAGCAAAACTGCACCACTTATTTTAACATCATTACCAGTTTCCAATAATATAAATCAAATAGGTTGTTCAATACATCTTGGGAATATAAAGCATCAAAGACGTCCTTACTATTAGTATTATTATATGTATATATATATATATATATATATAAATAATGTATTTTTTTGTCAATGAAATGGGGTCAAAAAACGACCATGACCTTTCAAGACTTATCAATTGCTGTACATTTTTAGCAGTGAAAACAACGGAAAATGAAAGTGCTTTAACTATTAGATTGTCAAGAACAACCGTTTCAAAACGTCATATGGCAACAATAGTAGATGTAGAGCATTCAAAGCTAAGTAGAACATGCAAAAATTACGTATGCATTAGTACATTATAATAGAATTTAACTGATTTTTACGTTCAATAAAACTCAGAGTATTTTTTCAGTTGATTTAAAAATTGTATGAATGTCAATTAGAGAATAAATGTTTATTACATGTCTAATAAAAACTTTTAGGTCATATTGAAGAAAAGAATATTCATTACACAGAATATTATTAACATTAAAATTACAATTTATCAGAACCTTTTACGAATTTAAACAAATATTGGTTGACATTGTTCATATAAAACGCACTTGTTAGTCTAACAGACAAATTAACATTGAACTTATATCGATTTTTAAACAACTAAAAATTCATTACTCACAAAATGAATCAAATCTACTGCTGTGAAATGAAATAATTTCATATTTAATTATTTAAATATTAAATAAATAAAAAAAATTTTTTTTAGGATAAATGATATAATTAAAAATTCTACTTTTTAAAATTGCTCTTAGCATGTTCACTGAGCAGATTAATAATCAACACAAAATAAATAAAATACAAATTGCCTCGCATGCTCTGAATATTTTGCACTAAATTAATTTTAATAATACATATTTCTTTTTTTTGTATTATACATATTTTATAGTATAAGTTAATATAAACTAGCAAAACTTTTATTTTTGAGTCTCCACATTTCCAAAATTTTCAAATACGGAATACTGTCATAGGCATAACAAAATTTTCTATAAAAAAACATTGAATGATATCCAAAAATTATGTAAAAATTGATTACAATGTTAAATAATAAATATTGAAAATATGAAAAATAAAGGAATAATTATGTAAAATGAAACAAAAAAAATTAAGATTATTTTTAAAAATTCTTTTTTTTTTTTTTTTTTTATCGCAATCATTTAGTATTTGCACACTCACACCCCTAGAATATATAATTAAAATATAACTTAGTAAATCAAAACACATGTATAATGAAGATATAATAATATTTTAATTTACAATAGGGAATTATACTTTTTTTAAATGTATTTAAGTCTTTGGAATTTTTCCGAAATTGAGCCCGCAAAGCTATGTAAAAAAAAAAAAACTAAAAATCGATTTAATTTTTAAGAAACCCAGTTTCAATTTTAAACCTCAATTTAAAAACAGGAAATAATGTCTAATAAATTTCTATAACTTATAAATGGAACTATCAATTTCGAAGACCCGTATAACTGAATTAAATAAAACGGACACTCAAAAAAAAAAAAATCTTAAATATTTTTTTAAATATTAAAATTAATTTCCTAAATATATATTAATAAATAAAGTTTATCAATTATCATACTGAAATTCTATGACTAAAATATATATACATACGTTTGGATTATATTTAATTGGTTTAGTTATTTAATAATAAATTAATATTTTAAAAATCATAGTAAAGATCCTCACGGCAATTATAATAAAATATATAATATGCTAAATTCATTACGGGCCTACTACGGGATGTAATTGTTATTTTTACCATATCGCCAAATCAATATACTATTCGATAGATGAAGATCTGTTACGCTAGAAAAGTTTATTTTGCGAAAACTATCCACTACAAAATTACTTAAAAAGATTAATGTTTGATCGGACTAGAGAAGCATTTTGTAAAACGATAGTATTTACAGTCGAGTTTATATAAAATATAATAGTGCAAGTTTCGAATAAAGTAACAATTTACTATTCAAACTACTAACCCTTCAATAGCAACGTACGAAACACAATAATTTTAAAACAGTAATAGAGCTGAATAAAATTGTGAAGGAAAAATTTTACATATATACATAATAGGGAGAAATCTTGCCAGATAAAACAAATTTTAGGCAGCTTATGAACTGTTCGCAACTTTAGTTAAGACTTCGTTCATATTTGCTTAAGATGCAAATTACATCAACGACAGTTTCACACGTCCAAATATTAACACGACCGTTGTTGCAGTGTTGCCAACCCGTCTCATAATGTGCGAGTGAATAAGAGAAAATACACAACCATAGGAGTAGGGGGACAGTCGCGCACGAAAAAATCGAAATTTCAGTTGCCTGCGTTAACGGGCGGCAACGTCGAGGCGTCATCATCCCAAGTGGCGAAGGATGCGAGGTGAAACGCGCGCCTGCCTGCTTGCTTATCCGCCGTCGCGACCAGGCAGCCGAACAAAGTCCCCTTCCATCTACATTTTCTGTTCCCCACTATTCAACGTTATACCCGCACTTGGTCAAAGCCCGTCCACACTCTGGTGATGCCGGCACCGCTTTGGCCCGGCCCCTTGTCGCGCGGGCGCAATATACACGAACGGAGACAAGCAGCAGCGACGGCGGCCGGTATAATAAACAACGAGTCGTTACAGCCAGTAGTGAAGTGAGGGGCAGGGGCGACAAGGACTGGAACTCGAGTTGAGTGTGCACTGCTGCTAGCAACGTTGAGTAAGCGGGACGTAGCGGAGGAGCATTGGGGAAACGGCACAAATAATGGATGCTCGGGAGTCGGTCAAACCGCCGACCGAGCCGTGAATACTCATTCTCTGTAGTAACGCACGATATCCACCAAAACGAGATACATACATACATACATATATATATATATATCTTAAGTAATAGCACACACAGCCCATGCCTCTTTTTATACATAATACAAATACATATATTATGTGTGTGTGCACCCAACCGATATACACTGTAACATAAATTTGCCGCCGTCGCCTTACAACAGCAATTATGTTATTTTTATTAATTCTCTCGTTCTTCTCGTACGACCAGAACCGGATTCTCGCTTACGCATTGAAAATACCGCGTTTTGTTTTTCACTAATTCTAACTGTTTTTCGCTACACATGCAACCCTATCCCACACAAAAAAAAATTATTTGTCCCCAATTATTTTCCAATTGAAATAAATAATTATTTCTCTAGATCGACCAACGCTATACGAAATAAATGAACAGAGATCTGGAAAATTAAAGAAATAAAATGTTAATTTCATTTAAACTAATAACAAATTGATATTATTATCGTTTGAAGTTTGAACAATTCGAAGTAATAACATTTTATGCGCAATGTAGCAAAAAAGATTTTTTATTGTATTATTCTAGTTTCACCCAAGTAGAACAAAAATTCAGAATATTAAAGAAACACATTTACGGCTCTATGAAATTAAAATTAAAAGTAATAAAAAACAACTGCAGGTAAAAAAAGTTCACACCTGTTGAGTTAAAATAAATAATACAATTTTTTATAGTTTTCTAAAGAGACGATTCATTTTAAAGATAAATTGTTTTTTGTGTACTTAAAAACAATAATTTGATCATCCAATTTAATAGCTACATTAAAATAATCATTAAAAAATGTACAATAATACGTTAAATGGTTAAAATCTTATTTATACAATAGACACATGTGAATAGTTTCAAATAGAAAGGACAATTTTTTAGCCTTCAAGTAATAAATCTTATGTAAATAGTTTTATTCCAGATTGAAAACTAATTCTAACGGTAATAATTAAAAATATTATATTTGAAATCACCTTTTGACAACGCCAAATGAGAATAGTACATTTGTAAAACCCACCCAACACTTAGATAAATCTTGAACGTATAAATTTAAAATTAAGTCACTATACCATTCCATTGAACTTAAATAAATATTTTTGGGTTTTACCTGTGTTTAAAATAAGTATTTTTAGTAATATAGCATATGATTTTTATTTCACTTTTACTTCTTATTAAATCAACAATCAATTATAAATATACTACTTATATAACTTTCATTTTAAAACCGCAAATCAAAATATAATTCCAAACATACCTTAACTTTTATAAGTTAAGAAAAATTGTTAATCTATCATTTTTTATAATTATTGAAAATAAATTCAGCATCGCAAATTAAACTAAACTTCAAATACCTTCAATTATAATTAAAATAATATCTACGTAATATGGATAAATGAAAACTAATTCGCACTGTTTATCACGATTTCCTTAGTCAGAATATTATAGTAAAAAATTTTACCATATATTAATAAAGTCCTTTCTAAATGAGTAAAATATGTATTATATGAAATATAATATTTATTTACATAAAATTCTTTATTATCATCAATAAGGTGTTTCCATGAAAAATATAATTAAAAAAAATCAAATAATTATTTATGACAGGTAGTTGTAATACAACTACTAATTCAATTGGTGGTAATAGTTTAAAATTTTAATAGATCGACTATATTTTTTTCGAACTTCATATTTTATTCAATTGTAATGAATTTGTTGAGTTTTTTTTTTTTTGCACTTTTAACTTACCGGGTGAGCCTGAGGCGGTGACTGATGTGGTGGTAGTGGCTGTTGTTGTTGTGGCGGTGGCTGCAGCTGCGGAGGAGGAGATGGATGTTGGACATTTTGCGAAGCTGGTGGACTCGCTGAAGCTGTCGGTCCCGGACCGCTGGCATGCGGTTGAGGCGGTATCTGCGGTTGTTGCTGTCGGTCATTCGGTGGCGGTCCTTGCTGCTGCTGTTGCTGATTAGGGTAGTTTCCATAAGGAGTCTGTAAAATAATAACCAATAACAACGAGGTTAATAACCCAAGATGTCATTATCGTTCAAGCCAACGCAAGAGAAAAAAAACATTTTTATGCACAGCCCGTTGGGTTGTCGGAAGAAAACGAAAGTAGATCCCGAGGGTTTCAAGATATTGAATCGTTTGCTATGTGATGTATATTATTATTATTCGGAGCCGGCGGAAAACATTTTACGGAAGTCAAGGTCGTGATTGGGTGGCGGCGACTACACACAATGGGAATGCGGCAAGTAGAGGATCAGCTGTGCGAGTGATAATGCCGTACCGCTACCCGTCCGCCCATCAATCACACGCCAGGCGGCGCGTACGCGACCATTCTATTTGAAGTCTGTCGGGCGACATAAAACTATAACGCACAGGTCAATGACGTTTGCTCGTAAACAGCGGTAATATTTATTTATAAATCACCCGGAAACGCTATTAATCTTGACCGTATTATTATTATTTATTGTGATTGTAACCGCTATGATGACAACCGCTACACTAGTTTTAGTTGCGCCTCATCCAGACACATCTGTACACTTGGCCAGTTACCGAAGATAAAACACATTAGTACTGCACTGTGTTTTCACAATGAACGTCATAAAAGCGCAACATCACTATCTACCAGCGGGTTGACTTAATAGATTACCTGTTGCTGCTGCGGCGGCTGTTGTTGTTGTTGTTGGGGGGTCAGCGGCGATGGTCCAGGGGGGCCAGGAGGATACTGATGATGAAGCGGTGGTACCCTATGATGTTGTTGGTATCCGGTGGGCGACGAAGGCGGCGGAGGATAGTGCGCCGGATGGCCCGGAGATGGTGGCGGAGTCGGTCCTCTCGGGTTGGCCTGAGAACAAACAGATCATATTACACTTTTGACATGCACGAAATGGAATCGAAGAAATCTAGTGACCTTGACAGTTTTTGGGGTCAACAGACCATCGGAAACGGGTTGTACCGAAAAAGGAAAACAAAAAGGATTTGGTGCGTGCCAGGTATGTGGCGTCGGTGTCATAGGACGAGTGGCGGCGGGCGGTGTTAAAAAAGTTTTCCGCGATGCGTGCTACGAGTTTTACTCGTAGACGGGGTAAAGCGAAGAAGGAGGTCGGCGTTATAGTTTGTTTGTGTAGTGTTGGAGAGGGCAAGGGGAAGAAAACACATCGATCGCAGCGGGTCGAGGATAACGCTTAAGGGTTGTAAAATGACGAAACTCGGAAACCGTGGGATTTTGACCGGGATGATAATGACGTTATTTCATTCATGAATCGCAAACACGTCGTCGCCACGAAACTACTACTAGACGATGCGGAAAAGGTGACCCCAAATAGGTCCAACGTGAAATAATAATTAATGACATGTAATAGCAGCACAGCACACGTTTAGTATAATATTATGTTACACAATAAAATACAATAGACGTGCGGCGCTTAACGCGTTTATAAAAAAACAGACCACGTGGTACACACATTGACTACCGTTAACTGGATAATTATTACCTAACAATAAAATAATTACATATTTTTTGTTTCGACCATTTGTTGCTCATAAATTGCTCAATTTATTTACCATTCAATTGCTACCGCCACCAGCGTTCTGATTTTTTTTTAACCGATCGATAATAGGAAAGATAATCAATAACATAAAGCAACAGTTTTTCAATAAAAACAAAACCTACTCGAATTGAATATGTATTTAACACACGATTTTATAATTTTTAAAATAAACGGTAAAATTAACATGTGTAGATGTATAAACGATTATTGAAAATTTCGGAAAAAAATTTACGAACATTTTACACTCTATGCAATTGTCTTTTTATGTTAAATAACCAGTTTTTTCAATTATTTTAATTTAAAAAAATGCATAATATACATTTTTATTATTTGTATATATTATATACAAATAATACATTTCAAAATTATAATTTATAGATATTTATAATAAAACTAGTTATTTTTTTATTTCTTATTAGTTGTGTTTAAATAAAAATAAGTCAGATAATTACAACCCTTGATGTTGGCTATCAAACTATAATAACATGATTTATCTAAATTCATTTTCTGATTACTAAAATATTGAGATGAAAAATAACGCTTTCTGAATATTTACTGTTTCAAAAAATTTGAACATAAATAAAAAGAAACCCCCATGATAAATAAACCAAAATCACAGACAGTAGATTTACTTGAAATACAACGTTTTAAGAAATCCGTTTGTGCAATTGAGGGCGTACTTAAATAAAATTACCTAAACATGTTTCCGATATATTCTTTGTTTTTACTTGAAAACAGACGATATTAAAACCTTAAATAAAACCTATTACTAAAGGTAATAAGCAATAATTATTATATCCAAAGATATTCGCCAAAGATACCGACACTAGGATAAGTCCTCGATCGCGTCGACAGCAAAATAAAAAAAAACGACATATGGATGCGACACACACGGTCAACAGATTATGATTCGTTTAAAACAAACATCTTACAATAAACGTACAAATAAAACGCGTGGGGGCTCCTCATATTATTTCGGGCGACGTGACGCGTGTTTAATTCTAACGTATGTGTGTTGAGTAAGGCCATGGGCGTCGAGTAAAATAATAATAATAATAATAATATAATGCATGCGTGCCACCGTTACTGCTTGTCGCAATTATAAACAAATCCATTACTGTGTAATCTGGGTTAATAAACCTCTCAGCAGATAATATCAACACGAATGATAGATACGCGAGAATTTATCGTACATTTCCGGTAGTCGTGCGGAATCGAAAATCTAATACAACAATAACAATATTGTCTTACAACGAACAAGAACGAGTTCGTTTTCTAGTAATTAAAAATAACACAAAGAGAGTACACTGAAGGCGCCGGCCAAGCTAAACTGAACAACGAAATTGTCTTCATAAGTTTAATAATTTCAATACGAGTAGCCGAAAAATTTTATACGCACCGAAGCTATTTCATAACACCAAAGTAAATAAGAAATTACAAGTGACCGATAAAAGTCACGGTAAGCAATATTAAAGCATTTCAAAGATGAGTATTGAATTGAACACACATAAGAAAATCATTTCAAAAATTATACTCGAATATTAATAATAATATTATAATTATGTAATAAAAATAGTATTGTTTTAATTTTTGGAATTAAGTCCCGAACATTTCAAACAATTTTAAAAGTAATACTTTAGACACGCCAGGGAACTTAAAAAGAGTTAACAGCACTATATAAATTATAATTAATAATTAATGGTACATCACGAGATGATTATATCAACAATTAGAAATATATACGCGCATACCTATCATTAATTGACAAATACAAAGTGTAACATTAATTTAATTGCTGTAGTTGAACAAAATAAAGCATTCCAGATAAATGCCGATAGTTAAAATAATCAATTGCACACATACAGCAATGTCTCTAATTTTATAATTACAGCGAACAAATATTTTCAAACCAATTTTCCTAAACTATCAATCAGCTATCAAAAGTAAATTAACACAAATCGGTTCATTAGGAATGACAGTATACATAACATAGTGATATAGGAATTCTCTGAAAGTATTTCGATAAGTTTGTCTATTCACTCTCAAGACAATAAAATATGCTCACGCATATAATAAATGACCGCATCTTAGTGTACGCATAAGTAATGCAAAGTGATAAAATTACCTACCAAATGCTAACCTGGCATATTTAAACATAAGATATCATTATAAAGTCCTAAAAGACAAATACCTCGTGATAATATTGCCTAAGATTATGTTACAACAAACAGGGAACAGCAATTTATGAGAAAAATTAAGAGATATAACACGAAATGAAATTTTATCCAAATCAATACACAATATTAATGTGTACATTGAACCGTATTATACGCGATTTCAGTCAATAAATAACAACAGAAAATATTTCATTGAAATTTTTCGCAACGTTTCAATGGTCATTGGTGAATATACAAATTTGGGGTCTACACATTAAAAAGGCGTTTTGCATTGAATATGTGTCGGATTCTGTTTGAATATCACCACTGAGTTATTGCTCAAGATGCAAATTAGATTACTGATAAATGGAGCTCAACACCGAGTATATAAATATGAGGTGATTACATTGTAGTCCAGAAAAATGATTTCATTCAGTAGACTAAAAAAAAAGTGTTGAAAAGAAACCAGAGAATATCCTTGCATGACGTACGTCTGACGTTGCACTTTAGGGCCCCCGCCGACAGCGAATACAAGATTTTCTTTACTGCCAGCAGTTGCCATTCCAACGAGTATTGTATCATTATATAACGTGGTGCGGCAACGAGACACAACATGGCAACACGGCAGGGCCACTGGGCGTGGCGTCCAACAAGCGCGCTGTATATTATGAATATAAATATATATGTATATATATAAAATATATATTTTTTAAGTATATAATATAATATTATCCAACCCGACACGCAGCTGCCGCGGGTTAGGAACTAAACGACAACGTGAATTCTACTGTTGTTGTAAAGAAGCCAGTTTGACTCGGCCAAACCCGTGTGTTGCAAATAAATGTAGAAACGCACACGATTCGATATAAAATTCCCTAGGAATTGAAAAATAAATAGTAGAGAAACGTATAAAAAAAAAAAAACACGTGTTGAGTCCTTTTTTAAATATTGATTAGCAGTTTAAAATATTATCCTATACTCTATTCTACCATTTAAACATTCTTCATTACAGTAACAATTATTAAATATAAAACGGACGGTGACATTCAATTACCATAACCCTAAATAATAACAAAAACCTTAATAACAATAACCTTTTTTCTGACAAAAAGTTGTTTACGTACATCATCAATCAAATCAAGTTGATAATTATTGACTAGGAAAACAACCCAAGACAGTTACATAACACTACAACGATATGATGTAGATAAGGCGGGGACAAATTAAAGCACGACCTACGTCTTTTTATCGCGATAAACGGGTTCAAAAATAAACTTTTTGATGTATTCCATTGATTTGGATATGAATGAATCAATTACAGTCATTGTTTGCACGTTTTAGTCAGGATTATACAACACGACGATAATCATACTTATAGTTGGACTAGCAGAAATTGCTTACCGATGTAATTATTAACCATGCGAAATAATAATTTTTACAACAGGGGCAAATTAAAGTGTTATATCTTAAAATATTTAACGAATTCTATTTTTAATAATAAATATACTTTTAGAAAACACCAATGAATGATTAGAATATCGAAATTAATAAAATTCATAACTATTTAATAATACTAAATTTTTCATATCTATATTTCAAAGTTTTTATTATAATAAAAACAATAATAATCCATTTCATTTATGAAAATCATAAAAAAGGCTAAAACTTTATTAATTTTAAATTGAAAAAGAGTGTAATATTTGAGTATAAAATTACATTTATTTAGTACATTTATCCCCAAATAGATTACCAAAGAAATAACCTAATGCATCAAAATGAAAAATTAAGTTATCCAATTCATATCAGCAATGCTGGACAAACAAAATACATTTGGGGAATTGAGAATTTTAATTAATAAAAAAATATTACATTGTAGAGAAAACAAAATGATAATGACTTTTATAAAAAAAACAGAATAATTTTTTTTTTTTTTTGAAAAGTAAATAGTTAATTTGTAGCTTTAAGTCGCGTTTTAAAAAACTTCTTCAAAACATACACTAAGTAGAGTAAAGAATCAGAAAGGACAACTTATATGTCTTAGTCCAATGCATATATTTTAGTACTTGTTTTTAACCACCCTTTTAAACACCATATAGGTTAGAAACATAAATAAAGCAAACACATATTTTTTTTTAAACATTTTAAATGATTGTTGAGATTAAATTAAATATTTCGAAAATTTAATCGAAATACAGTAATTTAAATTTAGTTCTACTACAATACTTATTTAAAAAATATAACAATATTATTAAAAGTAAATTTATCAAGATATTCATTACTATTGTTTTAATCACATAATTACCTACTTAAATTATTAGTATATATAATTTGTAAATTATAATTTAATAAAATTTCAATGAGTTATTTTGGGGGAAAAAAATGTCAAGTTAATAAAATATTACTGTCCATAAATGAAATGAATAATTAACTATACATATCGTTTACAATAATTTTAATAAATGGTTTTAAGGGACTAGGCCATTCACACAACTAAAATTTCTTCATACAAGTAATACACAATCTGATTATTAGGTTATAATTGTTGGTAGATTATATACTTAAACATAATAAATGGAGAGTTATAGTTTTCTATAAGATGAAATTAAGGTTTCTTATTATAAATAAATAAAAAATTACTAAAAGCAATCAAATTTAAATTTCATATAGGGTTAACTTGAAACAACAAAAATGTTTTATTTTCCATTTCACATATCAATATTTTAGCAAATATTTCATTTAAAGTTATGGTTTATAATTTGTTTGATATATTTAGAGTAAATAATATATAAAATAAAAATTACTCTTAATTAATGAATTTTAATAGATCATTTAAATTAATTTTTCTTCACTGATTGTACATAGTAAGTAATATACAGCAGAGAAATTAATTAACTTAGTGCCACAATTAAAAAAAAAATGTGTTAATGTAATACTAATAGCAAAATTAAAAAAATCTCAATGTTTTACAAATTTTGTATTTTTATGTATATACATTTTTCAATTTTTTTTTTTAATTTTTAAAATGCTGATTTAAAATACATTTATGTTAATTATTCAAAAAATTAATTAGCTCAAAAATAATTTAACACTAAAATATTAAATTATATTATATTATCCAATTTTGTTCATTGCTTTTTAAACATACATTAAACTTGAAATGGTCCACATCAAGTAGATGTGATAAAGGTGAAGAAAAAGAAAAAAAAATACATTAAACTGAAAATAATAATATTAAATGATACCTGAAAAATACTCTTAATATCGTCAATTTTATACTTCTATTATATTTCTCCAATTTTTATATTCATAAAAATTATTATTTATCATTACTATGTTTATTTAAAATTAAATTATGGTCTCATAAAAACGAAGATTTTTTAATATAAATAATTTAATAAAACTTCTAACTATAGAAAACATGAACAGTTCTTAAGATTAATAATGTTTAAGAGTATGGCTGATGATCGACAAATGGATAAAATTGCATAAATGTAGATGATAGAAAATTAAATTAAAGGAAAAGTTTTGAAAATATAAAACAAACCAATGAAAATGATAAACAAAGAAAAATAATTCAGAATAACTGAAAGTTCTGAAATCTAAAATTTATAATACTAAAAAAATGTTATTCGATCATTGGAACTAAAAGAAAAATACATTGCGGTTAATTCAACAATACTCCTTAGCAATTCCAATTGAATCAAACTGTGAATTTTTTTATCAAACTATAGTCAGTATATAAATAAAAAATTAGTATGTATAATTAACATGATTAACACACTTAACATTTCACACTTCCTACACTTCCTTACTTTCTCAGAAATTCCAGCTTAATAACTAAAGTTTATTAATTTCTTCTAAATTTGATCCTCAAGCTGAATATTTTTAATAAATAAACACTAAAAAATCCAAATTGTACATCAATGTAAAAAGTTAAGCAAGAAAAAAAATGTAATATTACAGTTTGATGTTGTTATGAATAAATATAAATGATTTAAGTCACATTGCTATGTATCTTTTTTTCTTTCATTTAAATTATCTATGCTAGATTAAATATTTTAGCTATTATAAAATATGGAAAATAATATAAAGTTCATCATTAAAATTTGGAAAATTAACTTACTCCTGGAGGTACATTTCTATAAGGCATGCCATGTTGAGGAGGATAAGGTGGCATGTTGTGTCGAGGCGGAGGTGGCCAATTCTGATTATAATGTTGTTGATTTTGAGGTGGTGGAGGTTGACCATCAGGTTTTTGGTATTCATTATTATAGTTATTTTGGTACCTAGTTGCTGGATTGGATGACTGTAATAATTGGTTGAGCGTGGGAGTAGGTCCAGTCGGTTGCGATATACTTTGACCAGATAAATGGTACCGTTGCTGGGGGAACATTGCACCTTGGGGTCCCGGCACACGCATCATAGGTTTAGAATATGCATGCCTGAATTGATTAAAGCTATTTGGCTCAGAGTTGCTATTAACATGGTGCTGTTCATTGAGTGGTGGATGATGACCAAAGTTATTTCTAAAACCACTAGGGGGAGGTGGAGGATAACCATCTTTGTCAGGTGGCCCCTGTTCAAAATTATTAACTTTAGGTAATTCTCCTTCAACCGACGGTTGATCACCGTGTTCTGGTCGATTATATTGTGGTCCTCCGTTACCATTACCAGGACCGGCACCACCTCCGGTCATATTTTCATAACTATGATGATTGACAGGCACCTGGTGCTGTTGCTTGCCACTCTTGGGCGATTCAGGAGCCTGAAGGCTCATAGGTGTCCTGCGATCGTGGCTGCCATTTTGGAAGCCAGGCACGTCCAGTGGTGGCCTTTCTTGGTCGCGATTATTCACGTCGCTATTCGGTTGATTTTCCGCGTGTGCAGCAGCCATGTTAGAAGGCACAGGCAGCAGAACGTTTGCCAACACCCCGCCGCCGCCACCCGTGAACACCAGCGTACATAATATTTCTAGTCAGCCACTACGTTATGCCCGTGCCGTTCGCGCTAGGCGAACCAAAAATTGAACATAACCGCGACGCGTACATTATTAACAACAACAAATGCAATAATACGTATGACTAAAAACTACACGTAACTCTACAATAGGTATATATATATATATATATATATGTATGTATATGTATATGTATAAAAACTTATAAAGATGCTTAATATATCACACACTATAACAATGATATTTTGTATCTGCTACACTTAAATACGTCTGCGACACCGGCTTCGAACATGGCCAGCGATGTCGTTTACACGCGCAAGTGTACGCACGGCTGTAGCGTCGATAACGGGAGAAAACGGACGAACGGCGAAACGAGGTTAGGACGGCAAAAGGTTACGACGCACCTTTCTCAGATCCCGGAATCGACACAACGACAATAAATTTTTCACAACGACAAAAATCACGTATACATGGAGACACACGCACGCACGCACACACACACGCACACACTCGGTCGAAAAATAATAACAACACTAGAAAATTGTACGTGCCCGTATACGCGATACCCTTTTTCCAATAAATTTTGGTCGAATAATACGCCGCGCACACTCAACGATTATCTCCCGTACGCTACGAACAGAACAAAAATGTACGACCATAATACAGTGTGACCGAAGCCCAAGCGTCTGATTCTTAAACCGAGGCTACACTGTAACGCAACGCCGCGTACAGACGCCGAAACATCGACATTTTTTTCTCCAAAAACCGGCCACAAATATTCGTTTACGTGTCACTCAATGGAAACTCCGACGTTTTTCGTCATAAATATATTTCATTTTATATATATATATATAAAAATTAAATCTCAATTTGATCATTTATATAAACTAATTTTTAAATAATATATTTCAAGATAATTTGACGACTAATCGGCATATTAAATTTGATCAATAAATAAACGCCATCTAGCAGTTACACAGAAAAAATTTAATTAAAAAATAACGGACATTTAAAATATTTTAAATAAGTGTAAAATTTAACGTAAAATACGTAGAATGACTACTTATTATACTTATCAATCTAATAAAACGAGTATGATAATATAATATTGAACAGAACTTTTCCTCAGATACATTAAAAAACACTTAAATTTTATTCTAACCACTCATAATTTTAGTCAAATTTTGCTACTATATATATACTATTCCTTTACACAGTCCAATCACAATTATTAATCACAGACTTGACTTAAGAGAAATATAGATGGGTAGTTTTTAGAACATGAAAATATTTATAATATTGTTATTTTTAAAATTATTATTTTATAATTTAGGTAAAAATATAAAAGAATTTGATTATAGAGGCCCTAACACACCTAAATCTATCCCTAAACATACTTCTCTAAAATGAAGCCCATCAATTTTCATGCAATACTATTAGAATTATAATCGTATATAATAAACAATTTGTTATATGAAAACTGTCATATGTATTTACTGGATAAAAAATTTTTGAACATTATTATTTATATTTTGTATTGCAATTTGAATTTGTTTTTACTACATCTTTGTATAAGTTAGATAGTTAATGTCAAAGTCACAATGTACTAACACTTATTATTAGCTAGTAAAAGATTCTATTAAGTCAGTTAATATTAATAACACAAAAAATGTGTTTATTTTTTCTTTTTAATTATATTTTTTAAATTATAAAGATTTCAATTTAATGTCAGAATTAAGAAAAACTTTAGAACTAAAATTTTAAAAGTTTATTAACTATTGCCAAATAATAATACTAAAAAACACACATTTGCTTTTTTTAAAGATTTTATAAAATACATAAATTAAATCAAACTCTTTAATAGTAACTATTAAACTTGGATATTAACTTAATAATTCATATTCTTAAAATTATATTGTGATAAGATAGAGAAAAATGAACAAAAAAAATTTGATTTAAAAAAAAATAATATACACAAATAAAATGTCTCAAAAGCATTCTTTACTATAAATTAAAAAAAAATTATATTTACAAATTATTTTTTTTATTAACTACTATTACATAAAAGTACTATGACTTAATTTAAATAACCAATAAAAATATATTGATTAAACACACAAGTTATATTTTAAGAAAATTTTACTCTTCTTGAAAATATTTTATTTATTAATTATCATTTTTATATAACATAATCAAATGTTTTTACAAAAACTAAATAAATTAAAAACCACAATATATTTATACACATAGCAAATATTACACATTTTGCTTCAATATTATTTTAGATAATTGTATACATATATATTTTTAAATATTAGTAGATAATATTTGTGTTCATACAAATTTATAATAAATATATATTACAAAAATATAATAACTTTTTCCATGCAAATATAAATTAATTAAAAAACTTTTTTACTTTTAGTATTCTAATACTAACATTTTAATAAAATTTACATTTAAGCGTATACTGTTTATAACATAATAAAACCCTGAAATTGTCTAGCATAAAATAGCATTTTTGTATAATTCATTAATACAACAAATAGATGTAATTCAATAGAAAACACTTTTTTGGATACTACCTACATCACAGCAAACGATAAGTGAACATAGAAAATTTACACATTATATACTCAAGTATATAATTTATTTTTTCTAACAACATAATCTTCAAAATTCACTATTTTAACAAATATTCGTACTATTAATAAAATAATAATAAGAACCTAATTCTTGTTTTTAAATAAATAAATATTATACTAATTATAAAGCAAAACAAATAAAGCATTTACATATATTTATACAAAATATGCAGAAAATCAGTACATAATTATACCAAATGAACATATAAGTTCTAATGTTATATTTTGTTTCTATTAATTTTCAGTGAAATAATTTTTTTTTTTAAATCATTGTTACTCTACAAAATATAAATTTATAATTTTTAACTAATGTATATAAAAACAATTAACTTTTTTATCTTATAAAAAAAATAAGTTAACAATTTTTAATTTTTCAATTAAAATATAATTAATTTTATTAATAAAAATTAATGAAATAACAACTTTTTTTTTATTAAAATTTATCTACAATATAAAAACTCTGTAACATAATTTTAATCAATCACAACAATTTTTAAACCAATTATTTTCTTTTTTGTGCGGTTCCTCTGGCAACCCAAGCAGTTTTTAGATTTGAAGCAAAATGTATGGAAAAACCATGAATTTGAACTGCTAATGCAATAAATATATACCACAAAATGCCATATGGGAAATTCTATAAAAATTTTACATTAGAATAATAAATTTTAAAGACATTTTCAAAACTTACTCTCCATTTCAGTATTGAATCATTTGGACTTTCTGTTATGAATTTATAAACATCTGATAGGTAGTAAAAAAAGGCATATACTACAGGTAATATCCCTAATAAAATAATCCATTTTATGTAAAGTGAAATATTCCGTACACAATTATGTTTGATTGCTCGTAATGCTAAAAATGATGCAGGTAAACTTAAACACCATAAGTATTCCCAAAACAATGGCTGAAAAAATATATTAATTAAACATTAAAGTATCTAAATGTGATATTTGATCTTGTGTTACAAACTATTCAATAAATAACTGAATTACCTTGGGTATTTCAAGTTCTTCAATTTCTAATACAAATATATCTAATCTATCGAGTACATCAGGACATAATTTAGCAACCATTAGAAAAAATAATAAATAATGAAATAAAATACAATACTTCAATCGACTCTTATTCTGTACACTATGAAAAAATAGAAATCAACATTAATATTCATAATTCTCTAAAAATTTTTATTTGAAATGAGAAGTTTTAAACATTACCTAAGTTTATAATGGTCAGCAACTTTTTGTCGATGGGTAAAATCTGATCCATCTGAACCAGCTATCATTGGCCCTCTAGATGACATTATTACAAAGAACTAATAAAAAAAAATTGAGTCAAAATTATGAATTTTTATATATTAAATGGTTTCAAATCAAATATATTGTAAATAATAAGTAATGTATCAGCAAAATAAAGGGAAAAATTGTAAAACTAATTAGTAACTCCTTAAAAATGAACTGGCAGTGGTAACTGCCAAGTTGTTCTCAATCAGTGATAACAGCAAATTCTTAACCTAAATATAATCTACTGAGTACAAAAAATATCAGCTGATTTATAATCATTATTTTACAATACAGAGAAACGTGTCCAGCCAATATCATTGTGAATTTAAATTTAAACTATCTATATTCATTTACAGTCCCGGATTACGACAATGGGTATTCAGGGCCAAAAAATTTAAAAAGGACTCCTATATCCTAGAGGTTTTTTTTTTAATTTTTATTTCATGCCATATTTTAACAAAAAAATCTGAGGTCTTTTAATCTGACCTTAGTACGGGTAATAGATACCCTTTCAGATGTATGATTTCACTGGTGTAATTATGGAAAATTATGACTGTCATATCCCCTCATTAGAAACCCTGTTACCACCACTGTATGATTTTGTTGAGGGGATTAAAACTCTAGAACGCTAACATTGGGTGGCCTAAATTTTTTTGTAATAAACAACACTTATATTTTATTTTTTAGGTGGCTATTTTAAAAAATATAGCAAGGTTGGGCTTTAATTATTTAACAGTATTAAGCTCTTTTTGGGACCATTTACATATAGAAGACAAATCGTGAGGTCAAAGTTGTTTTTTAGCTTCGATGCGAAGCTGAGAAGGTATTAATTTTACTATGATGTGTTTTTTTTTTTATTTTTTTTTATTTTTATTTTTGTGTCTGTGAACGCTCAATCTCAGCTCTCGCTGGACCGANATTTTTTTTTTTGTGTCTGTGAACGCTCAATCTCAGCTCTCGCTGGACCGATTTTGATGAACAATATGTCAAAAGATCACAAATCGTATCTAGTCGAAGACATTACCCTCAAAAATTGAAAAAATACCCTCGTTCCCTGTAAACGGAGGGAAATCCCCCAAAAAATTACAAATTTAAAAATCGCTAATTTTCGATATTTTTTCAATTTTTTTTACTTAAAATTGCCATAACTTTTTTAAAAATGACCGAATCAATATAATTTTTTTTTTTATAGATACCTTAGATAATTACCTATCATTTTATATATTTTTGTGAACATTTGACCCTTTAACAGCCCAAAGGATGGGGTTTCAAAATGGTAACTTTTTTACAAAAAATTAACTTTTTCAACTTAACTTTTGAAAATGTTCCGGAAAGACTGACACTTTTATATATATGTTAAATTAAAGCTAATGTAATATACTTTAATTTGAAAAAAAAAAATTTGACCTCTGGACTTGTCTTCATGGTGAAAATGACTACCGTATGCAAAAATATGCTATTTTTGTGAAAAAATTCTTGATATTATATTTTACATTTTTTAACATTATGATGCTATAACTTTTTAAAAAATGCATGAATCAATTCTATTTTTTAACAATAAATACTTTATATAAACCTCTTTCATTTGAAGTCCTTTTTTTTAAAATCGGACCATTTCCCTTTATACAGGGGGGGTGCAAAGTTTTTTAAATGCGTATAGAAAGTAGAACTTTTTCAACTTAACTTTTGAAAATGTTCCGGAAAGACTGACTCTTTTATATATATCTTAAATTAAAGCTTATGTAATATACTTTAGTATATAGTATAAAGCTAATGTAATATACTTTAATTTGAAAAAAAAAAATTTGACCTCTGGACTTGTCTTCATGGTGAAAATGACTACCGTATGCAAAAATATGCTATTTTTGTGAAAAAATTCTTGATATTATATTTTACATTTT